GTCTGCTTCCCAGAGTATTTGTGACAGTTCATAGCATTTATACAGTAAAGGTTTTTATGTGTGTGTGTACCAGTATTGGGGCTTGAACTCAGGACCTGGGTGCTGCCCCTCAACTTTCACTCAAGGCTGGTGCTCTTCCACTTGAGCCACAGGTTCCCTTCTGGCTTTTTGGTGGTTAACTGGCGATAAGAGTCTCCTGGTCTTTTCTGCCTGGGCTGGCTTTGAATGGCAATCTTCAGATTCCAGCCTCCCAAGCACCTAGGATTATAGGCTGAGCCACTGGCACCTGGCTACACAGTGAAACTTTAAATGATTTTTTTTTTCTTTTGAGATCATGTACTTCCTAATACACTAACCCCAGAAGAAAACGGGCTCTGATCATCTAGCTGCCTCTTCTTGATAAGAGCAACAAGGAACTAATTAGTGCACCTGTGGAGGAGATGGGCAGAAATGGATTCAAAGCAGGACTCAGGGCTAAGAAGTCAGCCTCAGGCAGGGGCCTCGAGACTCACCTGGGGCCCTGGTATTGAGAGCTGGGTCTGGATCAGTGGAGGGCAAACTGATGGCTGTGTGTCTGCCTAGCATTATCATGACATCTATTTGGGCAAATAGCTCTGCTAGTGATTTAGCTTTTGGTACATCTGAAAGCACGTTGATGTTCTTCTTTTCATTTCATTCTAACAAGAACCCGAGGGAAAAAGCAGAGTGGGACTGGCCATCCCTGTGAGGCAGCTAAGACCCTTGAGAAGTGGAGGCACCATCAAAGCACAGTCTCAGTGCTCGCTGCATGACCTGGAGCCAGGCTCTTCCTCTTGCAGCTTTATCACCTGTGAAATACAGGAAATGGACAAGATGGCCGCGATGTCATTGTACGGACTTCTTGTTCCAGGAATCAGCCACATAGGAAAAAGGTCTTGTCCAATGTCACTGCAGTTAGGGAGCTGAGTAAAAATGACACAGGTGTCAGGGTTTCTCATGCTGCCTCTGAGGAGAAGAAACCATCAGAGCTTCCCCCTGCCACTGCCACCCAATGCCATATCCTGCCTGTGGACAGCCTTTATTGCCCTCTGGACTTTGCCAAGACCAAGACCTCCAGATATGGGTTGGTAGAGGGACACAGAAGTCTCTGTGATGATGTCTCAGAGCCCTGATGTGGCCAGAGGTGCTCACTGGAGACAAGAAGGCCATTTCTCTTGTCACATCTCCTTCACAAGTCCAGCACAGCAGACCTTTCCCCCCCCCCCCCCCCCCCGGCAGATAAGAGAAAGTTGGAACAAAGGAAAGATATTGTCTACCCATAAGAATGAGGAGGGCGGGTGAGAACTAGGGTGCTGTCCACTGCTGGCGGGGGCATGCCTGACCAAGAGATCCATCCTGTTCTTGCCTGCCTCCCATCTGCTGTCTTCCTACCATTCAAGACAGTCAACAAAAGCAACGGAGGGCAAGGTCTAGCCATGAGAACCCAACATGAAACCCTCAAAAAGCAAAGGATTCTTTGCCAGAGACACCACAGACACAGACACAAATAGCCCCAGGACAGAGGTGTTATGGTGTTATGACTGATGTGAGGAAATGCAGGCTGTGGGATGGGAAAAAGTGACAGAGGAGTGGAGAAGAGGATTGATTTCCACGGAATCCAGGCCGACTTCACTAAAACGATGGCATCAGGACAGTCCCCCTCGGAGACACAAGAGGCCCTGCTTCTCAGGCCCCGTCTGCCACTGTCAGTGTGGAAGTGTGGGAAAACCATTTCCCTGCTTCTTCAAAGAGACCATTTGCCACAAGTGCCTGACAGCGTTAAGAGGATTAAATGAGAATGGATTTAAATGCACATTAGATTAAATAAAAGCACCAAATACAAAGCCTTTTCATCATCATAGAGAGGAAGGGAGGGGAGAAGAGGGAAGGGAGCTAAAGCAGGAAGTATCTGAGGAGGAAGCAGGGTGGGGCAGGTGCTGATGTCATTCCTACAGGCATGGGGGTGACCTACACATCCACAGCGTTAGAAACAGTCTCCCTTTATCTCCTTAACCTTCCACGGCTCATTTTATTGAAGAGAGCCCAACAAGAGGGAATCAGGACATCGAATTCTTCTGCATCGGGAAATATGAGAAGTACCGCCCCAGGAAGTGGTAATGACAGGGTAACAGTGGAAACCCAGCCCTTAGGGTGGCCATGGGAGCTTTTTCCCTTCCCCTTCCCCCTCACCGGCTTGAGCTTATTGGGTGTTCAGCAAACAGTCATAAAATGAGTGGAGTAGTCCTTATTGCTTTCCAGTGAATTCTACATTCACAATCCATTTTGATTCTGAAGCACAAGCTGAGAAGGACAGACCAGGCATGGATTGTTATCTGTCAAAGACAGGGAAACTGAGGCTGTGGGTGGTGAGTACACATCCAAAGCAAAGCTAGGGCTGGCAGTAAGAATACCCCATCCCTGACTTGTAACACAGGGGCACTTGCTCCTCTAAAAATAACCTCTTAAGAATTATTACCACAGCTGATCTTCATAACAAACCACCTGCAACTGTACCAAAGCACTATGTCCTGTTGAAGGCTCTTTCTCTGTGATGGCATTGCATCGATTCCATAGTGTTAGGATCCCAAAGTTACTGGTTTATTCCAGTGCAGAAGGTGGTATTTATGTTTCCCAGATAAATATGTAGTGGGTTCACTTGGTCTTTTCCTGAATAATTTGTGTTAAAGCCTTTGGATTGGTTGGCATTATTGCTCTACAAGAGAGAGGAAAGGAAGAAACAGTCTGGTGCATTAGGAAGACAGAAAAGGGTACTGGCGTTTTTTGTTTGTTTGTGATACGAAGTGTGAACGTCACTTGCTGGGCAAGTGCTCTACCCCTTGAGCCACACTGCTAGTCCTTTTGCTTTTGGATTTAATAGAATTTGCTTTTACCAGGCTCGCCTCAAACCTTGCTCATCCTACCTCCTCCTCTTGTGAGGCTGAGCTTACAGATAGGCACGGTAAAGGAAGCTCTCATTTTAAAGAGGCACGAGAGACAGAGAAATACCAACATCTGGATAAAATGTACTTGAGCCAAGCGTGCGGAATGGGCCAGGTGAATGAGGAAACCTGTGAAATGGGCAAGATGGAATGTAGCTATGAAAAACGAACTCTCAAGCTGTTCCTGCGTGTGCAAAATTTAAACCATAATCTGAAAAAAAAAGGAGACAGCTGGTCACTAGGGCCCACAAGGAGCAATACAATCCATCAGCCAAACACCCCCACTAATGCGTAAAATCCATTCCCAGCTCCGTATCAGTGCAGTAGCAGTAGCTAGAGCAGCAACAGCGACACTTACTTTCCTCCGCCTAGCTGCCTGCTGTGCCTCTCATACCAGAGTACTAGAGTCCTAATTGACCTTTGCTTCTCTTCTCTCCTGTCTTGGTAAATTCTTTCTATCAACTTATAGCTCCCCAAAATATCCATCCATGCACCACTGTGCCCTATTGGTTTTTTTTTTTTTTTAATCATGGACATTCCTGCCTCCAGGGTTGGCTGTCAGCTTTGATAGAGGGCCTGACTGCAGGAGCAGGTGCACAAGACAGGGCAACCTCTCTTGGTGAAGGTGGCAAAGTAATTTGTGGCACCAATGAGCCAGAGGCAGCTAGGCTGGAGTCTGAAATGTGGGCCAGAGCCCAAGCAAGGATGGAAAGAGAGTGCTTCCTCCCTTGCATGAGATTTCTTTCCACTTCTGTAGCACCAGTGATATCTGTGTCCTTCCTCCACAGGAAGACAGCAGAGGAACAGGGTCTCAGAAGCTGAAGCATGCTCAAGGTCAGAGTCACCCTCACTTTCTATGGGCTCATGGCTTACCTGCTTCCCACTGCTTGTTACTCTAATTAAAAAAGAAAAATTAAGGCCAGGCATCAGTGGCTCACATCTCTAATCTAGCTTCTCAGGAGGCAGAGATCTGAGGATTGCAAGTTCAAAGCCAGCCCAGCCAGGAAAGTCTGTGAGACTCTTATCTCCAATTAACTACCGAAAAGCTGGACGTAGGACTGTGACTTAAGCAGTAGAATGCCAGCCTACTACAGAGTGAAAAAGCTCAGGGATAGTACCCAGGCCTGGAGTTCAAGCCCCAGGACTGGCACCAAAAAAAGAAAAATTAAGGCACAAGGTTTTTACTAGAAGGCTACAACCCTCACCCCACCCCAGGTGTGGTACCCGGTGGTAGGTGCACCTTGGGGGGCTCAGAGGCACCTCTAGAGTGGCAGGAACATAGGGTAGGGGCAGTGACAAATTGTTAGAGAACTCACAGAGCTCTTAAAGAGGTCACCAGGGACAGGAAGCCCAGGCCTTGAGAAGGAAAAGTCAGTGTGACGTATATAGTTACCACTGTGTCCAGGTCAGCTCTGATCTGTGTAACTGGACGATCCCTGAACACGGGGGATCTTTGTAGAACCCCTGACCTATCACTCTGGGGAATCAAGGGCCTCATGGGATCTGGGAGAGCTGAGTCATTAGCCCATAACACAGTGAGCATTAGTGTATCTGATTAGCCATCCATGCCCACGCTCCACAGACTGAATGAGAGAGATGCAGTATGGGTCACCTTTAATAAAAGGAGCAGTTATAAAGTGGGAAGCTGTGTAGAGTATCCTGGCACAGAATGGAGATGAGCATGTGGCCATTAGGGAAAAGAAGATGCTAGGGGCAGATTGGCCAACTATGCAATTTTAAAGCCATAGAATTTAGACACACACACACACACACACACACACACACACACACATACACGAGTTCTCCTCACACTCAGATAGCCTGGCTTTACTGATCATAGCAATGTGATACATCCAACACTAAGAATCAGATTCCCCCAAAACAAAACCTTTTGAGGCCCAGTAGTCTTTCTAACACCATGCACCCTTCCCCATACATTGACCATAGACCCTTCCTTAACATGGAGCTAGGTATACATCCTGGGGGGTGGGAGGAAGCTATGAGCAATGAGCCAGTGTCAGCAGCCATTCGAATCAGACATACCTTGTGGGAATAATGCTGATCCACAATCCTTGCCAACCCGAAATCCCCGATCTTGAGCACGAGGTCCTCGGTGCTGATGAAGATGTTGGCGGGCTTCAGGTCCCGGTGCAGCACATTGGCGGAGTGTATGTACTTGAGGCCACGGAGCAGCTGGTACATGAACAGCTTGGCGTGCTCCTCCGTCAGGGTGCCCTGCTCCAAGAGCCGTGCCAGGTCAGTCTCCATGTACTCCTGGACGATGTAGGCCACGCTGAACTTGAACAGTTCACCCTGCAGGTCGGTGCCCTGGGGCCCCAGCACCTCATGCACCTTCACGATGTTGTCGTGGTCCAGGCGCCGGATGATCTTGATCTCCCGAAGGGCATGCTTCATGCTGCGGCTGTCACTCAGGGTGATCTTCTTCACAGCCACCTTCCGGCAGGCCTGGCTGTCCATGGCTGACAACACCAGCCCATTGACACCAAAGCCCAGTGGTTGGAAATCAGTGAAGCGACCACCAAGGTCATACCCATAGACACTGGCAATACAGTCACCTTTCTCAGCCATTGTTGGCTCAGTGGTCTGGGGCTGCCCGTGTCATGAAGGGCCGGTCAGGAAAGGCCAGGTTCCAGCTAGTGGCTTCCCCAGCACGCCTCATTCTTGTCCAGTCCCACAGCTGAGGGATCAGCATAGGTTCTTGCTTGCCGACCTGTTTAGCTTGGTGGTGTGAGTGGTTTTCCTTACCTGCACCCAGAAGACTGACACCGACTCGTATGTTTAGAACAACTCATGCTTTCTGTAAATCGGGCATTTTAGAAGGAAAAGCCAAGATCTAGGGGAAATTGATGTCTTCTATCATCAAGAATTTCAGAGTGAAATATGCATTCTAGAGCTCCCCTTGAGTCACCCCCCCCGCCCCACACACACACTCCTGAATCCTTTGTTACAAGGCTCTTTCTGGCTGAAATGCTGGGTCGGTTTGCAGAACTGTTGCTTTAGTGGAGAGGTTTCAATGCTCACCTACATCACAGCCTCCTTCCGTGCTCTAAGTATAGGAAATGATCAGTCCAGGGATTCTAAAGGCTTCTTAGGGGTTTCTTTCAAATTCTACCAGTCCCTCTTCCTACAAAAACTCAAACCAGTCCGGTGAATATGAGGAGAAAAAAAATGGAGACAGCCACATGCCTCTCAAGAGCTCTACAGCAAGTTACACCTGTTGTCCCAAGTCCAGGGGCAGCTCAGCTACAGGGCCAGATCTTCCGAGCATTTGGTGTGGACTGCATCCTCTTTCACCCATGTATCCACGCCAACTCCACCGAGATTGCTCAGCTAGCCACAGAGGAGCCACAGCAACGTGGCATCTTCCAGACAGAGCCTCCTTCCCTGTCAAAGAAACAATGTTGGGTAAATTTCCACACTCCAGCTTCTAACACCTTCCCACTTGGCATCTTTTGTTAACTAGCCCAAGTGTTATTTGAGCTGTCCAGCCAGCTGAAAGGCTGCTGGCTCAGGGGATGCCAGCTTTGCCCTGCTCAGCCACCCTCCTGCTGTGCTGATTTGATAAGATCATCAGATCCCGGGCTTTTATGTCAATGCCTGCTCACCACCCCCCCCCCCCTCCCCAGGTTAACACTTGCCAACTGTGGGTGGGAGTCATCGTCTGACCTTTGCAAAATTAATTTGTTATGATTCTCGCACACACACACACACACACACACACACACACACACACACACGAGCATATCAGCACTGGTTAGGAAGGGTGAGAGCCAAAGGAACTAGTTGTAGACAGAAGATAAAACTTCAGTAATCTTCTTTTCCCAAATCAGTCCCTTTTCCTTTGGTAACTGCTGTTGGAGATATGGAGAATACACACACACACACACACACACACATATATATATATATATCTTCGAAACTATCAGTGTCAAGACAGTGGTTCATGTCTGTAATCCTCGCTACTCAGAAGGTTGGAGTCTGGTTCAAAGTTGAACAGAAAAGTTCGTAAGACTCTTATCTCCAATCTCTGTCAAAAAGCCAGAAATGAAGGTATGGCTTAAGTAATAGAGCTCCAGCCTGGAGTGTTAAACCTAAGGGACAGTGCCCAGATCCAGACTTCAAGCCCCAATACTGGCACAAAAACACAAGCAAACCTAGCAAAGTCAATTCATACCTCTAAAGTAAAGGCATCATAGCTTCCAAGAGAGTGACACGTTTTCTAAGTTCACAAAGTCTATGAATACACAGAGAAAGGATACCTTCCTGCACAAAGAAGCAAAGCTGGTTGAGCTGCTTTCCTTGGGTTTGAACTCAGGGCTTTGTGCTTGCTAGGCTGGCGCTCTACCACTGCACAATGGCTTGAACCCTGTTTTTTTGTTGTTGGTTATTTTTAGGATAAGGACCTTGTTTCTTATCTAGGTGTACATCTGAGCTATATTCCGCCTACTACTTCAGGTCTCTGTCATTGCTGAGATCACAGGTGTGCATCTGGGATCCAGTTTTTCAGATTTACATCTGCTACATCTATGTCTACCTTCTACTATATCTAGTTTCCTTCCATCAAATTGGACTTTCAAGGACTTTTCTTCCTAGGTTGGCCTCAAACCACAATCCTCCCATTTTCTGCCTTGCAAGTAGCTAGATTAACAGATGTGAAATTCTTCTTATCTCATTTCATTGTACACCATTTTAACCTGAATTTTCATTACAATGCCAGACCCCTGTAAGGATAATTTTCCCTCTGAACTTTGCATGACAGGACTCTGTAAATGATAGATAAGGCAAAATGACTGCAAGTTGAATGCTCGAAAATTAAAGGATAAATCATGAGACACAGCTGATCCCCAACAGTTTAAAACTGATCAGGTTTCCCTACGGGTCTTCTAATGAGGGGGATTCTGCCAAGGATGTGGACGTAGTAGGTGTTCAGCTCAACAGATGCTACTGTTTCTGCTGATATCAAACATTCCCTTACACCTAAGATGTATTGACTCTGCAGATGGCTCTTCAAACTGCTAATAATTCTGCTCTGCCATTTTTGGGGAGTCCAGTAATGAAACACTTGTAGGCTTACAGAATTTCAGGTTGGGAAGCGAGCTTGGTGAACAAGTTTTATGGTCCTAATTGGCTCATCTGACTGTAAGCCACTACAGGCCTTTGCGGGTAGGGCTAGATTTGTTGACCAAACTACCAAGCAGGTCCATTCATGAACAACTGACATCCACTCCTCCAAATGCCAAGGGTATCTCTGCCAAGAGACATTGGTTCTGCATTTGATATGGAGATTCATGAAGACCATTCACTGTTTAAGAATGCCTAGATGCTTAGGGATGGCGCTGGACCCACTCATTAAGCCACGGTCTCTGCCCTAGGCTAGTGAAGCTCTTCTTAGACCCCTAGATATAGGGGGAACCAAAGAGCTTCCTAGTTCCTGTTCCATCCTCTGACTTCTGCTGTCAAACCAGCTAACAGCACCTGAGCTGCATCTTCTAGGGCTCCTCGTGTGCCACTTCTGGTTCCCAAGGGTACAGCAAAGGGGAACAATGACATATTTTGCTCCAGGAGAGATGCCGAAGCCTCCTTTCCTCTCCGGTTCCTGCTGGGCTGTAAACAGAGACAGAAGCCAGCCAATGACGTCACTGCAACTCAAAGGAGCATTGTTGGCAATCTGCTGCAATGCAGATAATCTGTGAATAATTAAGAGGTGCTTCATTTATTTTTAAATTCTTTTCTCTTCCTGTCTCCTGCAAGAGGGCCTGTCTTCCTTGTATATCTGTGTCTCTTTCTCAGTGCTCTTCCCAACATGCTGTTACTATGGGAAGACTTGATTCCAGTCACTCTACCTTCTCCATGGATCTCTAAATACTCTTTGAACTCAGGACCTGAGTGCTGTCCTTCAGCTTTTTTGCTCAAAGCTGGCACTCTTATTCATCACTGGAGCCACAGATCCAGAAAAGTCTTATGTACTTTTCTGCCTGGGCTGGGCTTCAAAGCACGATTCTCAGATCTCAGCCTCTTAAGTGGCTAGGATTACAAGTGTGAGCTACTGGCGTTCCAATCCCTACATACTCTTAATTCCTGCATAGCTTCTTTGTTTGTGCCTACCTCCTCCCTTCTTGCTGAAATCTGCTGAAATCACTCAGAATCCAGACAAAGCATTCTTCCCTTTCTGAAGAATGTCCTCATTCTCAGTGGCATCTCTCCCTTTGCTAAACTCCAGGGGTTCCCACATGTATCCTGAACTTGGCATTTGCCATATGCTAACCTGGACTACTATTTCTCTTTGTATCATTCCCTTTTTGAGACTAGACGTTTCAAAAGTCTTATGTGCAAGGTGGTGCACAGAAAATACCTGTGGACTGGAAGATTCCATGGTACATTCTGTGTGTACAATCCGGATGCCCCATTTCCTGCATGGTCGCCATCTCTTCTTGTGTGCTGCTCTAATGTAACTTGCTTAATAGGACTCTTCTTACAACACACCTCATCCGCTTACCCAAACCCATATCCCTGAGCTTCAACTTCAACCCTCTCAGCTTCATCTGCTGCTTCAATGCTGCCTCTCTGAATTTCAGCACTTTAATCAGGCAGCTCTTGTGTGAGTGTTCTCTGTTCCCACTTGAGTTTACTATTACTCATCTCGTTTCCAGCCTCTTCATTGTCTAAGTTTACCCCTCTAGTTCCTCTATCAATGTCTGTTACAAACCTCCCACCCTTCTCCACGAGGGCACTGATTTACAAAACGTGAAAGCTTTATCAACTCACGGATGAGTGCCTCATTTCTGGCATGGCCCCGTGCTCCTGGAGATGGTAGATGGCACACAGAAGTGCCCCTGGGCAATAGAGTGGTGGATCAGCAGCTCTCAGGGTGATGCTGCTACACGAGAAAAGCCTGGCCCTTCTCCACATGGAGGTGGTGGTTCACGGCTGCTTCGAATCCTGGGTGTGATTTCAAACCCCAGGAGTTGGCATTTATTCCCATGATACAGAAAGGTCACCCAGTCAGCTGAGCTCAATGATATGAAGCAAGAGGAATATGGGTAACTCTTGCAAACACAACCCAGGCTCTCACGATGCTGTGACAAGCATCTTCTCTCTCTCTCTCTCTCTCTCTCTCTCTCTCTCTCTCTCTCTCTCTCTCTCACACACACACACACACACACACACACACACACACGAATGGAAATGTCTAGCTCACCAGTCCTAACAATGGAGCTTTAATTCTTAACTCATTTCTCATGGACTCTCCAACAACAGTGTATTTAAGTCCAATTAATTATTCCCTGTCATCCAGCCTTTTAAAAGGTAGAGGCAAAGCAGAGAGGAAAAGGTATGTGCCAACAGTCCCTTTCTAGGATTCCTGGGGCTCTGGTTTACAAATCGGCTTTGGAAAGCCTAAATTTAGACACACCCCTCCACGTGCTCAGATCCTCCCAAACCTCACGCTGTCAACTTCATCAGGAAATACAGTCCCCTGTGAGACACTGACCTTTCACAGATACAGCTCTCTCTCCTCTCCCAAACAGCCTCCACCCCCAAACTGCAGCAACTTCTCCGTGAGGGCTGATGTTTAAGTTGAACAGGCTGCACATTGCACAATTCTAGATGGCACCATTCACATCATGTGTTGGGTCTGGCTGACTCCAAGTTTCATGACCTTCATAAAGGTAATCTATATGAATGAAGTCCTATAGACCAGAGATCAGTAAACTTTTTCTATAAAGGGCCAAAGAATCTTTTATTCTTTGTAGAACATAAAGGCTCGGTTGCAACTACTTAACACAACTACTCACTACCTTCAGAGCACCAAAACAGCCATAGAAAATACCTAAATGAATGCATGTGCTGTGTTTCAATAAAACTTTATTTACAAAGATAGGTGGTGAGCAAGATTTGGCCTGGGAGTTTAGTTTGTCAACCTTCCTCTGGATTCTATGGGAATAGTCTCTAGCTGGTTCTCAAGGAGGTACTGAAGTCTGTTGTAACTTGGAACTCTTTCTGGCTGCTCCTCACCTGCTTTCTCTTGGACTCTGTCTTCCAAGAGTTTCCATGGTGAAGACATATGTATTGAGGGTTCCTTATGGATCAAGGGCGTTACCTGAAAATTTCAGGAGTGTCTCACAACATCCATAAGTTAAGATCTTTCTTCCACAAAGCTCACAGACCAAAATGATGTCTATGAAGCCACCTTTCTGCAGGTGAAAATTCCGGATACAAATGAGGATTGATTTGGCTCCAAAGCCTATGTTATTGTTGCCTTAAGCTCATACCAGGGCAAACTGTGACTTCTTAGGCCTAGTAAGGAAAGAAGCTGGGAGGGTATACCCACCAGAACTCCTAAAGCAAGATGCAGCTGTTGTTTCAATCTGCATCCTAACCTGGTTTGAAGATCCCAGTTTAATAACCTAAGTATAGAAAAAAAGGGAGGACAAAATAGTGACATGAGGTTAAATGCTGAGGGAAAAACCAAAAAGCAAGCTCAAGTTCAACCAACCATAACCATATTGCCTTCCACTTAGTCCCTTCCTTCTTCTCTGTGACTCTCAGACCTGCAGAGATGGTGGCCTCTGGGACTGACCCTCTGAGGGTGAGGTATTGGCCAGAGATCCTGCCTGGCATCATCTGTTTCTAGACTACTCCTGCTTCCTCCCTGTGAATGGATGTCTGGTCTGGCTCAGTCATTGAGAAACTGAGCCCAGTCCAGCAATATGGACTCCCTAGCAGCATCCCTACCCTCTGCCCACTAGATTCAAAGAACACACTCCAATTGTCATGACCAACGAAGTCTCTATTATTGATAATTACCTGTGGGGCAGGTGCCAAGTCAAGCCATTGAGGACCACTGGTCTAATGAGCAGTTTCAATAGGGCATTGAGCAAGACAGTTGGTGCCTCTCACTCTACCTCTTTCAGAGAACTTCAGTCAAGCTGTTGACCAAGGCTGGAGTCACCTTACACTCCCTGGCTGAGGTCTTTTCTAATGGTTCCCGCTCAGGATTAGTGGTTGTCTTTTTTGTGGAAGTGAACAGTGTGCTACTGCTCAAAGCTCAATGACCCTGGTTCTGATCCACTGCATGTGGGTAGAATTCCTTCCTTGCCACAGCCTCACACTACAAAAATCCTAGAGAGCAATGGATTCTCACAAACTCTTCCTTGCTAAGATGCTTTTGTCTAACCACTTGCAGGAATCTGATTCCCCTGTGTGAAGACTGGCTATGGAATCCAGTTCTGGACAATAAGCCTTAAGCAAAAGCCCAATGAGGTGGGGTGGGGATCTCAAGGTAAAACTTTCCTCCTCTGGGAAGAAAGAAGAAATCTACTTCCCGTCTGAGGGAATGGTGGTAGAGGAAGTCATGGTGCAGCCGCCATCTTGAAACCACACAGGGGCTAAGCTATACTAGAATTAGCAGATGAGTAAGGGACCCTGTGGTTGATCTTGTATAGCTGAGCCACCTCTACAGACTACTGTCTCCAGCTCTTGCCAAAAGAAATCATGTTTGTGTGAGTCTGCAATGACTGAAGACAATGTCCCAGCAAGACAGCCCTGCATGCTACCCACCCTGGGCTGCATTTCCCTCAACCAGTTTTCTTGGGAACATACCTGTCGGTACACCACCAAGAAAGAAGCATGAGGAGATGCCTGTATCTTGATTTCTCAGAACAGTGGGTTAGAAGTGAGCAACAGAGGGCTTGAAGCAAAAGCTCACAAGAGCAACATCAGACCCTACGGTAGGGTCACCTCCTCACCAAAGAGCAGACTCCAGAGGCTTGAGGCTTTGTGTTGCTTTTCCTTTAGAACATTACGCAACTAGTGAGGGAGAAAAAAAGACTTCGCAAGGCTCTCAGCAACACTAAAATAGCAAGGGGAGACATTCTGGATGCCTCAAGGGAGCTCTAGACCCAACCTGGACAAAGTCAGAGAAGGGGGAGCGGTCTAGGTCCGTGCATTTGAAACGTGGCTGCTGGTTACCTGAATAATAGTGCCAGTTTCACAGAGGTACCTGCCTGCCCAGAGATCACAAACCCAGCTTCGGACCCCAAGTATGAGAAAGGTGGGGAGAAGGGATGCATAGGAGGGACTTAAACAATTCCTACATTTGGCCTTTGTAGATACTCTCTTTTTAAAGGAAAGAAACTTGGGATTACAGATTGGTCTCTTTTGGAACCTAACTCAGAACAATGACCTTGGCAGCAACCAGGTGAGACTGTGTGAGGGACTGCCTATGTTGGGCTGGATTCTGAAGCAAAGCTATTCTGGCTTGGGACCAAACTTCTGGAAGTCAGAGACTTCTGGAAGTGTCTAATTCTCAGGTACCTAAAGAATGATGCCACAGGCTCTGTGATTTACCTAAATTCCACTAAACCTGGGAAAAGCAGAGTCCTGGTCCTGGGGGAGCCACGTGACCACAACTGACCCTCCTGCCAAATGCTTCCTTGCCATCTGCTGAGGGAGCCTATAGCAGGGTCACCCCGCATCAGCCACAGGAGACAGCATCATTTTGGTTTTAGGCCATTCATGGCAAATGTGAGTCATGAGTTGCTGCATCCTCATTCTTTCCTCAAGAGCCAGGAAAATAAGAATCTTTCTTTTCTTAGAGAGGGGAGGGCTCAGTACAGGGGATTGCATTCAGGATTTGGGGAGTTAAGTCTGCTAGGTGGGTACTCTACCATTTGAGCTATGCCCCAAGGCCAGAGAGAAAACCTCCCACCTATGCTCTGGACCTTGTGCTCTGATGGGTTCGGATGGAGCCTGCTGAATCCCTGGCCTTGACTTTCTGACCTCATGGCTGCTGCGCTTTCCTCCCTTGTGCCTGCCTTGCTTCCCAGGCACACAGTCCAGTTCAGCTGGCATGTTCTGAGGGTCGGCTCAGTGCTGGGCACAGTACACATACCTAGCAGTACGTGACTTCACCCTGCACACCAACATGGAGATGTACCTCACCATCCACTACATGAGAAGACACCACAGTGCCTGGCACACAGGGGCTCTGGGGAGGCACAGCCCTCCTCCTCTTCCTCCATCTCCATGTCTTCCTCTTCTTCCTCGAGCTCCTCTTCCTCCTGTCACTTTGGAAAAAGGTGATTTTTCTAGCCTTTAGCCCAGGTCAGTTCATACTGATTCAGCAGAAACCAGGTGAGGAAACTGAGTGGCAGGAAAGGGAAAGGCCTCTTCTTATGTCACTAGAGGGCTGGGGCCAGGCTCTACAGAGCTGTCTCTTTTAGGAACAGCACCATCCCAAGCATCTTGGCCTCCAGGTGAGCTCCTGGACCCCTAAGTTAGAGGCAAAGAGCTATGCGTGGCAAACTCTGGCCAGCACAAAAGGTTATTAGTCCCAGCTACAGCTGTCACCATTCCAACTGGAGTCTTCAGACTCAAGGCCTGCCCTAGAAGGAAGGAAGGCGGGGACTGAGAACTGGTCCTGTCAGTGTAGGGGATATGCAGGGCTGATGTCCAGCACCATGCCTGGCCTCTGGGACCACACCAGTGTCTATCAGGTGAGAGAAGCTCTATTTTGTTTTAGTCTGAGGAGAGCCAGGAAAAAAGATGCCTCCTCCGGTCAGGCGTAACTAAGACAGGGAATGATGGACAGCTGCAGAGTCCTATGCTGACAGGAATCTGCTCAGAGCCCTGATTCCACAAGCCAGGATGTGGGTTCTGAACTGAAGGACAGGCCCCATCCTCCAGCTGTGTTTGGAAATAAACTGTACAATCTGCCTCCCCCCCCCCCCCCCGCAAAAAAGATGAAGGACAAGAGATAGGGAGAGAGGACGAGGAAGAACAAGGGGAGAGGGGGAAGAGAGAAAGCAAGAGGGAGCAAAGTGGAAGGCCTCGCCTCGCCTCTGTCCTCCAAAGAGCTACCTGCTTTGGTCTTCAGTCACCTGGCTGTTGAAGCTCCTCTCATGATACCTCCTCATTGCCCCCAAGCCTCAGACACATGCATTGATAAAGTACTCGATGCAGGAAAATGCTGGAACAGCAACAGTAGGAACCACACAAAACAGCCTACCAGACAGGGCAATGGAATTCTGCAGGCAGTGAAGAAATATACACTTCCATGGGGGCAGTGCATAGGGGGAGGCCTGGGCACCCAGATTTTCCCTGAATGGTGGAAAGGGTTAGCTGAAAACCGAGGGCGAGGGCTGGTACCCCAGCCACCACAGCTCAGTGTTCAGTTTGTGGGGGGCTGGATGGTGACCTAGTGAAGCATTCCTTTCCTCTCCTCCCTCTCCCCGGGTGCCAGATAAATGAGCCTCAGGATGTAAGGAGTACTGAAAGCTGGCACCAGACAGGCCCTGTCATCTTGGCAGGGTCCAACATTCTCCTGTTGGGAATGACAGGGGAATCCATGGGTTGGGGTATGGAACTTTCTGGGAAAGGCCCTGGTTACCGAAGGCTGTGCGCAGACCCCATCTCCAACCATCCATATCCCAATGCCACAGGGCTAGTGCAGCTTGGGACTGAAAAGATACCATCATGGCCATTCCTCCGTACTGTGGAACACGAGAAGGCAGGGGTGGAGAGTCCCCAGCCGGTAATAGGCCTCACACCTCCTCTGGATCAAGCTTAGTGAGACTGTGCTCACCCAAGAGGCGGGGGGAGGGGGCAGGTGGGAAGGGATGGGACAGGATGACACTGCCCCATCAAGCATCATGTTGGATGAACCTGCTGGGCAGGCAAAGGTTGCTTATAGAAATAGGCTTTATATTACCAAGGGCTAAGCCATTGCCCTCCCCCAAATGTGAATCATGTTTTAATCTTGAATGTTTCATCTGCCTCAACTGCAAATTAGGATCCCAAGTCAAGGTAGATAAAGAATCTGGGGGCAACTCAAGAGGCCTGGCCTGGGAATGGCTGCAGAGAATGCTGTGCAGTCTTGGGCAGGGCTAGGGTCAAGTGATCCTGGAAGAAGCTTGTAGAAGAATCCAGGACCAACGTCTCCCCAAGCCCCTGCGTTCAGTTACACAAGTGGCGTGTCTCTTGAACTAAAACAAGGGGCAAACAGAACACTGGCTCAATTCTGATTTCTCTTCACCTGTGGATCCCTCTGTTCTAATCCTGCTACAACCGCACCAAGAAGTGACATCCCAGCTTCAACCCCATACTCCCAGACTACTGAGACTGAAGATTCCAGTCTCTGGCCCTCTGAGTTGTCAGCACAAGCCTGGCAAATCCTAGTGCCTCCATCCAGCCTGCAACTCCTTCTAATGCCTTGCTCGTAAGTCCCTCCCAGGCCTGTGACCTGGTGAACAGGACTAAGACAAGGTGCAACCATCTCCTGGGGGTACTGTCTTCTTCCCTTTCTCTTGAGTACTGTAGCTTAGGTCCTGGTTATCCCTCTGCAACCAGTCTGCATCCTGTCATCTCTTATCCTGGCTGTAACAGCATTTTGCTTTTGCTTCTCTAC